TTATGTCCTTCCTCACTGGATTCAGTCCCATTTTTGCAGGTGTAACTTTTATAAGCAAGACTGAAAAGAAAAAAGAAAAAAAGTGTCATTTGGGAGTGCATTCAAAGCCCATTAAGATGACACATTCGCTTGTATTTCTCTTTAACCTTCAAGCCACAGGACAGCCTCCCAACCGTGCTGAAGAATCAAGGGCGGAAGGTCAAAATTATCCAAAAACAAATATGATACTTCAAAAATGTCTGAAAAGGACAGGTGTGCTTTTCAAGAAACCTTTCCCACAGTGGCTTTAGCCTTTGTATGCGGCCCGGATGTAGCTGATAAACTAAGGCTTTCTGACTTTGCAGCCTGATAGATATAATTTTCATGCTGTATATGGAAAGATAATGCACCCAATGTATTGGACAGTTGTCCCTGTGTTATCAAGCAGTGTGTTCTCTTATTTCACTAACAAATGTGCAGACAAACACACATTGTGGCAAACGCAAGGAAATCACTAGCCTGGGTTTGAAACTTAAGCCTCCCCATTCTTTAGAGTATAGCAGTATTCAGGCAATAGGGATGCATGGTACCAGCATTACCCTTTCTCTCCAGACTCCAGAACATGACAATAGCTGATACGTTTCAGTGCATGAATAATTCTGATCCCAGCTAGACAACTGCTGTGAAGGAATTGTCCTTATAATAGTTGTCTCATAAAAATATGTATATTTTATTATAAAACAAGAATATTCAAATGGACATCCACATTTTGGCCCCAAATCCTCCCCTTTCCTGTGTCTTATGCAAAGTAGAGGTCGATAAATATTTATCAAATGAAAGTTAAAAGCATGAAAGAATGTTTTATTTGGATTTTGATGCCTTTCTAGTGAGATACTACCTGTTTTTCATTTAATTACAGCTTATTTTTTTGAGATGAGAAAATGTAGACGCAAAGTCATGATAAGCCACCAACATCATAAAGAGCAGACTCAGGTACTGAACTGTATTCTCTGCCTGTCCCTTCATGCAATTTCTTTCTACTTTCCGCAGAAAAATCCCCCCTTCCTGCTATTTCCACCCCTGAAATATTTATAGGCTGATGTCCTCTTTAGTCATCACTGAGCTAAGCTGCAATCTTGTAATCATTTCTCAGAAGTCATTTTCTCCGTTGGCTTAATCATTTCATTTACTTCTGACTCCACCTAATGTGCTTACGTCCCGTAGACATGAGGTTCCAGAACTGAAACAGCCCTTCGAGGAACCAGAGAGAAGCCAGGCAACATCAATGAAGCCCCTTGATAATAGAAAGTGTCCTCACATGTGACTCCATAGATGTTTTGCTGTGGGACTCTTTAATTCCATCTTGCCTTATAGGCAAGATGCAATCTTTATCAGAGCTCCAGGGATAATGCTGTGTCACACAAAAATGTGCACTACTTTTGATGTCAGGTACACCTGGGTTCAAATCTTGGCTTCCCGATTTACTACCTGTATAACCTAAGGCAAGTTATTAAGCATCTCTAAATCTTGGTTTCTTCGTCAGAGATAAGTTGGGAGGAATACTAGCTACATCATAGGAGTCTTGTGAGAACTAAATCACTTCATATATGTAAATGGTCTGTGTATACTATACCTAGCACACATTATATACAGCACTCTTACTAACCTCTAAATCTAGTGTTAAATCAATTTCTCTCTCTCTCTTACCTGACTCCATTCAATTTACCAGGAATTCTGTCCACCTTTCTTTCATTTTTTCTGAACGTATCCATTTTTTCCCATTGATATGAGTCACAATTAGATCAGCTGCCACCTGATCAAACCCACCATCATTTCTAACCAGACCATTGCCGTAGCCTCCTGACTCAATTCCCCTGCTTTCATCCTTGCCCTTTATAATGCGTTCTCTACACTGTAGCGATGTCATCTTTTTAAAAGATTACTTGGATCAGTCCGCTTGCCTGCATAAAACATGGCATAGGGTTCCCACTACACTAAAATATAAATCCAAAATTCTTGCCATGGACTACAGGACCTCAAGTGATCTTTCCCTGCTTGTATCTCTGAAGTTATCCTTCTCCCCTCTTCTATCACTTACTCTACATTTAGTTTCTTGAGTGGTTTCTTGAGTTCACTAAGCTTATTCTGGTGCCAGAAAATTTGCCCTTTCCATTCCCTGAGACTTAGATGTTCTTCCCCAAGATCTTTATATGATTGGTTCCTTCTCATCATTTCAGTCTAAGACCAGAGGTCACCTCCTCCAAGAGGCCTCCCTTGGTCACCAAATCTCACGTTGTCTCTCCCTGATAACCTAACACTGACACTTTCTAGCACATTACTTGGTCTTATTTTCTTTATGTCACTTTATCACTATCTGAAATTACCATATTTACTTGTTTATTTCCAGAATGTTTGTCTCTCTCAATAGAATGCTAGCTCTATGAAAGAAGGAACTTTGTCTACTTTGCATATCTCAATATTGTTACCTCCTAAAATTGTGCCTGGCATGAAGTAGGCACTCAAAAAATATTTGACAAATGCATAAATTGGTGTTTTTAAGCCTGTTTTGGAAGAACTGGGCTCTATCATCCTTTTCATAAGGATGAAAAGATAATGAAATCTTAAGGTATTCTCACATAAATTTAATATCTCAGCCCTAAATTTTGTATAGCCAGGAAATTCTGTAGCATTATAAAATGGTTCAGAACACAGAGCGTGTTTTAAGTCCTAGCTTTGCCACTTCCTTTCTGTGTGACCTTGGATAAGCCAGCTGACGTATTAAAACTGGTTTTCTTGTCTAAAAATATAAAGATAATAACGCATACAATATTAGAGGGTTTTGTGAGGATTAAAAAAGCTAAGTCTATAGCACAGTTCCTGGAACATTGTGTGCAGTCAGTAAATGGTGGTTATTATTATTATGGTTATAGTTTTTACAGTAATTAATTCTGGCACCGTACTTTACAAAGAACTTTGACAAATTGGAGTCCATCCAGAGGAGAACAAACAATCTTGTGAAGGGTCTGGAAACCACGACTTGTAAAGAATGATGGAAAGAGCTGAGGATGTTTACCTTGGAAAAGACACTTTTTCAGAGGAACATGATACCTTTTATAAAAACACTGAAAAGAACTGTCTGGTGGAAGAGAGATTTGATTTATTCAATGTTACTCTGCAGTATACATTTAAAGCCAAAGAGTAAAAGTTAAATCTTAAACTCTTTATGATCTAATAACCAAACGTTCCCAAACCAAAATAGCATTGAATTCTACTTATAAGAGTAAAAACTTTTAAGTCATGTTTGCATAAATTTTTATTAGGGAAATTATATTGTATATGAAGCCATTTACAATTACCATTGTATTAGCCTGTTTTCACACTGCTGATAAAGACATATCCAAGACTGGGCAATTTACAAAGGAAAGAGGTTTAATGGAGAACTCACAGTTCCACATGGCTGAGAAAGCCTCACAATTATGGCAGAAGGTAAAAGGCACATCTCACATGGTGGCAAACAAGAGAAGAGGGCTTGTGCAGAAAAACTCCCCTTTTTAAAATCATCAGATCTTGTGAGACTTATTCACTGTCACGAGAATAGCACAGGAAAGACCTCCCACTGGACTCCTCCCACAAGATGAGATTTGGGTGGGGACAAAGCCAAACCATATCAACCATATTAAGACTTTGTATCAATATGAAAAGTATGTGTAGGATCTCAATTGCAGAAAATGGACTATGAAATACATGCATAAGCAGACTATGAAATATAGGCACTCTACAGAGAGAAACAGAAAGAAAGAGAGAGAGAATATAAGCACAAACACACGTAAATAATATGTGTTGCTTCAAGAGGTGATGAGTTTCCTGTCCGTCCAAAGGTTAAAGCAAAGACCAGACAACCTCTTAGAAGAAACAGCATTGAGAAGTAATATTACAGACAAAGCACTGGCTAGGGTGAACACTGAAAAGATTTCAAAGCTCCATGGGTCTATGATCTGATGAAATATATCGTTGAATTGTGGGCACAAAATTGTGCTTTTTAAAATAGTGCAGATGACATTAAGCCTCTCAAATATTTTCATTTCCTCTCAATTAAAACAGGCAAAAAAATCGAATACCAAGAGACCCAAGTTCTGGGCTCCATGGTCTACTGGGACATTGTGGCATCAAGACCCACAAAGTGGACGTTCCTGGCCATTATTTCTCTTCTGCTCCAGCAAAAGTCTGTCAACCTCTCTGAACCTCATTTTCTGGATCCTTTCCCAAAAAGAAGGAAGTTGCATGCTTTCTATATCTAAAAATCTGTGCTTCATCTTGATTATTTTCTTTCATAATTCTGAGCTTGGCCAGGAATTAGAAGCCACCTGAACTTTGTAAATAAGGAATTTCTAAGAACACTAACAAGGGAATAACTGTAGGAGAATTTTGGTCCCCAAATCAGGGATGGTCCTTTTTCCACGTAAGTTTCAAAAAGTAATAAATAATTCCTCTTATAATTCAATGTGTGAAAAGTTTACAATTCTAAGAGACAAGCATCCATAAGTAGGGTTTTCCTAGAAAGTCTCTTTATATTTTATGCAAGATGACATTAAGTCATCACCTGCATTGCTTTCTTGGCTTTTTGTTGATAAAGGAGCTCTCCTCTGTTGTTGTCAAACTTCCAGGCAAGTTTTCAGACTATCTTCATCCTAGAAGGGCCAATAGACAGAAGATTGCCATTTTCAAGCATTGAATACACAATTGGATCCTTCATTGAGGTCAACTGACCTCCCATTTTATATCTCAGATGATTTCCAGTGGTGGCAAAAACATGTACTTTTCCTTTCCCACTTCAGGAACTATGAGGTGTACTTTGACTAGGCAATAGAGATATTACAAAATAGCAAACCCATAGAACTTCCAGAGACATCATGAATACTGTAAGAACAGCCTCATTCTCTTCGAATCCTTGGTTATAATTCACATAGATTATCTTGTGGGAATAGAACAAAGTAAGCCTTGCTGTGCCATGCTCTTCTGGTGAAGAGTTCTCTGACTTCTATGTTTCAGATGAAGGAATCATTGTAATATGACAATGGTCAGGGAGTGCCCTCCTCTCATGCCCAGAATTGACCTACAGTCCTCAAACCAATAAGCTCAAGCCCAGATGATTACCACCTACATGAAAGGTAACCTTTTTTCTTTCACAAAATAGAATTTTTTATTGTTAATATTTTTATAATTGAGATGAAATTCACATAACACAAGTCAATCATTATAAAGTGAACAATTCAGATCAATTTATTACATTCACGTTTTATATAATCATGACCTCTAACATCTTCATCACCTGGAAATACAACCTGGACCCATTGTGCAGTTCCTCTATTCTCCCCTCTCTCCCGTCCCTGACTCTGTTTTCAGTCTCTAAAGATGTACTTATTCTGGATATTTTATATAAATGAAATCATATAACATGTGAGCTTTTCATTCTAGAAAGATAGCTGTTTAATCATTCCCAAGTTCAGGAAGGCATCATGTTTGTATAAGGAAATAAATAAACAGTATCATATGAATTAATTTATCTAAACAGAATTTATTGAGACCTAGCATTTGCAAAACATCTAGTGCTTTAGGAGCACAAAAAAAGACCTGTTAATTATCCTTGTATTCAAAGAAGTTACAGTTTAGAAAGCGGGTAGCAGAGAAAAAAGATCGAGAGCCAAATCCAAGAGGCCGCTACTTTTTAGCAATCAAAAGAAGCCTGGCTTCTAAGGGAAGCTTGGAGCTTTGAGGTCCTCCATAACTCACATCAAGGAACAGTACTAATATTAGTTAGTATTCATGGTTGCAAGTTTCAGAAATTCAACTGAATTAGTCTAACACAAAAAGGGAGAAATCGGCCGGGTGTGGTGGCTCACGCCTGTAATCCCAGCACTTTGGGAGGCCAAGGTGGGTGGATCATCTGAGGTCGGGAGTTCAAAACCAGCCTGACCAACATGGAGAAAGCCCCTGTCTGCTAAAAATACAAAATTAGCCAGGCATGGTGGCACATGCCTGTAATCCCAGCTACTCACGAGACTGAGGCAGGAGAATCGCTTGAACCCAGGAGTCGGAGGTTGCGGTGAGCCAAGATCTCGTCATTGCACTCTAGCCTAGGCAACAAGGGCGAAACTCCATCTCAAAAAAAAAAAAAAAAAAAAAAAAAAAAAAGTTGGGGAGGAATATATTATGGAAAAGCAGGGGTGGCTCACAATGCGTGGTAGCAGAAACAGAGCCCAGACTCAAAGCAGAAGCTTAGGAATTTCCTTTTCTCATCTTGATTTCTATCTTAGTCCGTTCAGGCTGCTATGACAAAATACCACAGACTGGGTGGCTTATAAACAACAGTAACGTATTTCTCACAGTTCTGGAGGCTAAGAAGTCCCAAGTCAAGGCAGATTTGATATCTAGTGAGGGCTCACTTTTTCACAGATAGCCACCTTCTTGCTGTAATTTCACATGGGGTAAGGGACAAGGGGTTTCTCTGGGGTCCCTTTTATAAGGGCACTTATCCCATTAGGGAGGGCTCCACTGTAATGACCTAATCATGTCTCAGAGGCCCCACCTTCAAACAACATCATCTCAAGGTTACGATTTTAACATATGAATTTTGGGAGGACATAAACATTGATTCCATTGCAGCTACTCTATATATTTAAATGTCAATTCATTCTTTGCTCTCTGTTCACATGGTGGACAAAAGACGGTGATCCCACAGTTTCCAAGTTTACATCTCCTTTCTTCAAAAGAGGCACTATTACATGAGGCTAAGAATAGACTCCAGAGTCAGACAGAGGTGAGTTTAAATCCTAATTCTACCATCTACAGGCTGTGTGACACTGGGAAAGTCATTTAACCTCTCGGGCCTGTTTCCTCATCAATAATACTACTGATTTCATAAGGTTCTTTAAAAATTTCATTGGAAAACACATATAAAGATCAATGTTCACCACATAAATCTTCAACAAATATTAACTATTTAATATTATTATGATTAAAGAGGCCATCCCTAAATGAGTGAGTCTTGATAACAAATCCAGATTTCAAAAAAGAGACTCTGATCCAACTTGGGCCAAGTGCTTCCCTCTCCTCCATCAGTAACAGCCAGAGGGTAGAGTCACAGCTGAGAAAGATGGCTAGCAGAGACATTCCTGTGGTGGAGACGCAGGAGCCTGTCTGCAACTGAACCCAGGAGAGAAGATACCAGAATCAGAGAGAAGAGGAGCGGAGTCAAAGTCAGGCCTCCTAACCTGCTGAGGGGACAGCTGCCTGTGGATCCCAGGCCACAGAAGAAAAAACTTATTTGGGGCTTTTGGGACTTAGCTCAAGAGACTCTCTCAGTTGATCTTTGGAACTCGTGCTACTGCTTTTTTAATTTAGTCAATATTGACTAGTTAACCTCCTGAACTTTGAAATCATTGTTTACTCTCTTTTTCTATCACTTTAGCTTGTTTGGATTATTCTTTTATTCTCTCTGACCTTTAGTTTTAGATTTTCCTTTATCTTAGTTGTTCTTACCTCATGGTTTGCTTGCTGCCTTCTGTGTGGGTTTTTTTTTTTTTTTTGGTGGCAGGGAGGGAGTGGGTTCATTTATGTAACCTAGTGCTTTGTATCATTTTATCTTTAACTCTTCTTTTTATTGTTTTGTTGCTACTTTTAAACCTTTTTATTATTTACAATTTTTAGTTTTCTAAAATTCTACCAGTGAAAAGTATAGATGAAGGGGTTTGGCTGACAGGATGACCCCTCTGACTCCAAAAGATGGATGGGAGCTCATTTCCATTTCAACCATCCTGTAGGGGCCTCCAGACCCTGAGGCTGATCTACAGAAATCTCACAGAAACTCCACATAATTCGGTTTAGAAAGGTGTTTACAGATCCCCTCGGCTAAGGATTACACATCAGGCTGCTTCTCACCACACTTTCTTTCTGCTTTTCTAGGATAAAGTGCCTCCCTTCAGCAGATTGAGTAGGCGGTGAGCCCTATTCTGGAGAAAAAAAGGTTTGTAGCTCTGCCAAAGAATCAGTGAAAGAGGATGCAGCATTCCAGATGAAAGAGGCCTTCTCATCACGGTGGAGCCGCAGAGCTCAGCCCCAGGACCTCTTCTCTTCTCTGTCTTCATTCAGTTATTGATTTCTTAGGTACTATCCACATACTGATGACTCTCAAATCTATATTTTCAGAACACAACCTCTCTCCTGAACTCTATAATGCTAACCTCCCACTTGACATCTCCATTTCAATGTTCAATAGGCATCTCAAACTTAGCATATCCAGAACTCAATTACAGATCTTTCCCCTGCTGAACCAGCTCCTCCCAAAGTCTTTCCCATCTCAGACAACAGTAACATCATCTTTCTCTTATAGCCCATATCCAATCCATCAACAAATTCTATTGGTTCTACTTCAAACTTTGATCACCTCTCACCTGGAATAGTGCAGTAGCTTACTTATTGGTCTCTCCGCTTATATCCCTGCCTCCTACAGTCTACTCATTATGCAACAGCTGCAGTGATCCTTTAGAAATATTTATCAGACCATATTATCCTGCCGAGAACCTTCAATGGTTCCTCATCAGCTGGTTTCCTTGTTCCTCCAATACAATCACACTCCCTCTGTAAAGCCTTTGTATTTGTTCTCTCTTTCTGGAACCCTCTTCTATCAGATATTCACATAGCTTAATCTCTCACTTCCTTCAGGTTCATGCTCAAATACCAGTTCAACATCCTGTACAAAATATTAATAGTACTTACTTCATCATTTTATCCCCTTTCTCACTTTATTTTTCTTTATAGTACTTATCACTGTCTGCCATACTTGCTTATTATCTGTCTCCCCTAACTAAAATATTAGGTTGGTGTAAAGTAATTGCAGTTTTTCCCATTACTTTCCAAGGCAAGAACTACAGTTACCTCCGTACCAACCTAATACAAGCTCCAATGAAGAAAAGATACTTTTTCAGTTTTGTTCTTGCTGTATCTCTAATGTCTGTGTCTATAATGGCACTAGAAAATGCTCAATAATTGTTTGAATACACTAAACAATTAAATAAGTGATTTAAATCCTGGTATTATAGTTTAAGCAGAATTTTATTTTTTTTTAGATGGAGTTTCACTCTTGTTGCCCAGGCTGGAGTGCAATGGCACAATCTTGGCTCACTGCAACCTCCGCCTCCTGGGTTCAAGTGATTCTCCCCGCTCAGCCTCCTAAGTAGCTGGGATTACAGGCATGCACCACCACACCTGGCTAATTTTTGTATTTTTAGTAGAGACTAGGGTTTCACCATGTTGGTCAGGCTGGTCTTGAACTCATGACCTCAGGTGATCCACCCACCTCAGCCCCCCAAAGGGCTGGGATTCCAAGTGTGAGCCACCGTGCCCGGTCCTCAAGCAGCATGTTCAAACAGTTTATATAAAAAGAGGGTGTTGAGATGCAGGGAAAAAAAACCTAAAAAATAAGATGACAACTGTGTCAACCCTTGAATGAAATACCATTGTGCGCAGGCACTGTGCCAGATGTCTCTTGTGGGTTATTTCTTTTAATCTTAAATGTTATAAGATAATTGACAATATTGGTTCAGCTCTAGTAGATTCTTTGAAACTTATCACCCATTATCTATTATCTTTTCACTCAAGCTGCAGTATTATTCATTGTCAAGAGACATAGACTTCAGAAAATAAACTTGCTGACCAGGAGGGGTGACTCATGCCTGTAATCCCAACACTTTAGGAGGCTAAGGTGGGTGGATCATTTGAGGTCAGGAGTTTGAGACCAGCCTGGCCAACAAGGTGAAACCCCATCTCTACTGAAAATACAAAAAATTAGCCGGGCATAGTGGCGCATGCCTATAATCCCAGCCACTCAGGAGATTGAGGCACGAGAATTGCTTAAACCCAGGAGGTGGAGGTTGGAGTGAGTCGAGATCCTGCCACTGCACTCCAGCCTGGGTGACAGAGTGAGACTCTGTCTCAAAAAAAAAAAAAAAAAAAAGAGAAAAGAAAGAAATGTGCTAATCTTGATGTTGTATGCTTTTCCTCCTGCTATAAGGAAAGCAATTATGGCAGGTAAAGGCAAACTGACCATATTTATCCTGAAGAATTCAAAATAAAATCTAATTCATGAAAAAGGTTACAAAGTATTATGGATATACAATCAAAGGAGAAATTAACCTCAACATGTACAATCAAAGAAGACCTTACTAGAATCTAGCACTTCATCTAAGCCTCAAATAATTGACATGCTTTATAAACTCAGAAGTTTGACACAAGGCAAGTTATAGTGTAAGGAAGGACAAAGAACTCCTAAAAAGCAAGGTATGCAAGAAACCTTTGAGTAAGTGGTAGGCAACTTCTAAGGCAGCCCCCACTGATCTCCACCTCCTCATATTTACGTCATTGTGTAATACTCTCCACTTGAATATGAGTAGGACCTATGACTTACTCCTAGCCAACAGAATATGACAAAGGTGGGATGTCGCTTCCATAATTAGGTTACACGATTGTGACTTCTGTCTTTTAATTTATTTATTTATTTTGAGACAGAGTCTTGCTCTGTTGCCTAGACTGGAGTGCAGTGGTGCAATCTAGGCTCACTGCAACCTCTGCCTCCTGGGTTCAAGCAATTCTCCTGTCTCAGCCTCCTGAGGAGCTGGGACTGCAGGCGCCTGCCATCGTGCCCGGCTAATTTTTTTTTTGTATTTTTTAGTAGAGACAGGGTTTCACCATGTTAGCCAGGATGGTTTTGATCTCCTGACCTCATGATCCACCCGCCTTGGCCTCCCAAAGTGCTGGGATTACAGGCATGAGCCACCACGCCTGGCCTAATTATTATATTTTTAGTAGAGATGGGGGTTTCACAATATTGGTCATGCTGATCTCGAATTCCTGACCTCAGATGATCCACCTGCCTTGGCCTCTCCAAGTGCTGGGATTACAGGTGTGAGCCACTGTGCCTGGCCAATGACTTCTGTCTTATTAGCAGACTCTCTATTGCTTTCTCAGCTTGTATGCTTTGATGAAAAAAGCTGTGATTTTGGAAAAGCCCATGTGTCAAGAAACTGAGACAGTCTCTAGCCAATAGACAGCAATGAATTCAGGCCCTCAGTCTAACAGCCTTTCGCACTCAAGCCTTCAGATGAGAGCTCAGCTCTCACCAATACATTGATTCCAGCCTTGTGAGGGACTCTGTCTCAGAGAATCCAGCTAAGTCAGGCCAGTATTCCTGATCCACAGAAACAGCAAGATAATAAATGTGTGTTGTTTTAAGCTGCTAAATTTTGTCATAATTTGTTACAAAGCAAGAAATAATTACTTTAATTTAGGACTAACGATACATTTGCATTTTCCCCAAAATCTTTTTTTGTAACAAATCTTTTAATTTGTAGTTCAAGTATTTATTTAGTAAATATTTATTAAGAGTCTGTTTTTTATAATTATTGTTGTTATAGTGAATATAAAGACTGGGAATATCAATCAGAGAAAGACCTCTCCTCAAGAAGACTGGTCCAGGTAGGTAAGAGGTGCTCACAAACAATTAAAACAAGGTAGAAGCTACATGCTAAACGACAAGAAATAGCTGGAGATGATGTATCAAGAATGTATGGTGGAAGTGCATTGAATTGGGTCTTGAAAAGCAGGTTGGGCATATAAGGGATACACAATGGACTGTCTGTAAGCAAATACATGGAGGTGAGAATTATGGGGCATGTACGACAGATGATAAACAATTTCTTTCACTACAGAGTAGGACACATTTAGGGTAGAAGGTTCACACAGGTAGACAGAATTGGAGAAGTAGGTTGGACCATACTGGGAAGCTCCTTGAACTGTGGGCAAAGGGCTAAGAGTTGGTGCTTTTTAAAACATTATTCAAACTCCGTTGCCAAAAATAATAGAGTCCCAATTTCCTTTCTGAAACCTTCCTCATTCCATACCTAATACTTTTAAATATTGGGCCAAAGGTAAAAACTTCCTGTACTTTTATCATGTCCCAGTTTGTTCAAGATTACTTATCCATTGAGTCTCTCTGAAATGGCTCACTGCATTTTATAATGCAATTTGAAGACCCAAGTATGATTGAAATTGAGAAACTAACACCATCTATAAAGTATTGTATGCATTTTTACTATGTGTAGATTATTGTGGTGACTCTCTGCATTTGTTTCCAGTACAGAAAAAATTCTTACAGCTTTTCCATACCCCCTACCCAAAATGTCACTTTCTTGAAGTATTCTCATTTATTCATCAGAGTTTGGAGGAAGGCCATATGGCTGCAAAATATGTATTTATGTCTAATTTGTGCACTGCTTCTGCTTGTAATTTCATTTAAGGTAGCTTAAATGGCACTCAAACAGACAATTTTTACTTGTACATTTACCAGCATGAAATCACTTTGAAAATCCATTCAAGAACATCATGAAATTAATCTTCACTGGAGGCTTTCTCTACATAATCTCTGCTAGTTACAAAATTCTTCATAGAGGTTATCAAGGAGTTTCAAAAGCTTTCTGCTCACCCAGCAGGATATGGCTCATTTTATAGCCTTTCATATATTACTTTAGGGAAGCACACAAACTTACCATCTTCCTCGCCTAATAGTAAAGGTTGATTGAGATCCTCTGGACTTGTGCTTTCATAGCTATTTTAATGCCCAAAACAACACATAACCAAGCATCCCTCCAGACTTTCAAAGTATCAACAAATAGTGTTTTTGAGCTTGTTTCTCTCAATTTTGGACTCTGTACATCTAATTATGTTTATAGCACGCATAATCCTATGACACCAACTGTCCAACAATCATATCACCATCCCCACATCTTCCCAGCTAAAAACTGTTTACAATTCAGTGTCACAATTTGATTTTTTTTTTTTTTTTTTGATTGATGATACTTAAGCAGCTGGGAGAATTAATGGAGTTCAGCAGAGGCCACAGTCCTAACCAGGGTTTGTAATTGATATCTGGGAGGCCGCGGCCTTTTCTTTCTGCAAAAGCAGTCTAATTAGTGAGGCCTGCATGTCTGTGCAAGGCAAGAGGAGAAGGTGGTGGAGGAGGAAACCTGAGGTCCCCTGAGGGTTTGAAACTGCTTGGCTTTCTAATCAGAACAGTTCCACAGAAGCAAAAGAGGTAGAGTGCTTCTAGAAAAGACAGACTCTTCAAACATATTTGCAACATGTATTGCTGCAAATACACATAACATACAGTATTTGCAATTTACAGTCATCATTCTCCAATTAATGTTCAAAAGAGTTTAGTGGTTTACTCCTCTAACCCTTAGGTATACAGAACATAAATTTATTCACTTAAAATTTAACTTGTCAGTACCATTCACTTTGGAATATTTTTAAATAGTAAGTTCCTTGATTCACTTAAAATTACTTTATAATGCAATTAACAGAATTATTATTATTATTTTTAATTAATTTATTATTATTATACTTTAAGTTGTAGGGTATATGTGCATAACGTGCAGGTTTGTTACATATGTATACTTGTGCCATGTTGGTGTGCTGCAGCCATCAACTCATCATTTACATCAGGTATAACTCCCAATGCAATCCCTCCCCCCTCCCCCCTCCCATGATAGGCCCCTGTGTGTAATGTTCCCCTTCCTGAGTCCAAGTGATCTCATTGTTCAGTTCCCACCTATGAGTGAGAACATGCGGTGTTTGGTTTTCTGTTCTTGTGATAGTTTGCTAAGAATGATGGTTTCCAGCTGCATCCATGTCCCTACAAAGGACTCAAACTCATCCTTTTTGATGGCTGCATAGTATTCCATGGTGTATATGTGCCACATTTTCTTAATCCAATCTGTCACTGATGGACATTTGGGTTGATTCCAAGTCTTTGCTATTGTGAATAGTGCTGCAATAAACATACATGTGCATGTGTCTTTATAGCAGCATAATTTATAATCCTTTGGGTATATACCCAGTAATGGGATGGCTGGGTCATATGGTACGTCTAGTTCTAGATCCTTGAGGAATCGCCATACTGTTTTCCATAATTGTTGAACTAGTTTACAATCCCACCAACAGTGTAAAAGTGTTCCTATTTCTCCACATCCTCTCCAGCACCTGTTGTTTCCTGACTTTTTAATGATCGCCATTCTAACTGGTGTGAGATGGTATCTCATTGTGGTTTTGATTTGCATTTCTCTGATGGCCAGTGATGATGAGCATTTTTTCATGTGTCTGTTGGCTGTATGAATGTCTTCTTTTGAGAAATGTCTGTTCATATCCTTTGCCCACTTTTTGATGGGGTTGTTTGTTTTTTTCTTGTAAATTTGTTTGAGTTCTTTGTAGGTTCTGGATATTAGCCCTTTGTCAGATGAGTAGATTGCAAAAATTTTCTCCCATTCTGTAGGTTGCCTGTTCACTCTGATGGTAGTTTCTTTTGCTGTGCAGAAGCTCTTTAATTTAATGAGATCCCATTTGTCAATTTTGGCTTTTGCTGCCGTTGCTTTTGGTGTTTTAGACATGAAGTCTTTGCCCATGCCTATGTCCTGAATGGTACTACCTAGGTTTTCCTCTAGGATTTTTATGGTATTAGGTCTAACATTTAAGTCTCTAATCCATCTTGAATTAATTTTCGTATAAGGAGTAAGGAAAGGATCCAGTTTCAGCTTTCTACTTATGGCTAGCCAATTTTCCCAGCACCATTTATTAAATAGGGAATCCTTTCCCCATTTCTTGTTTCTCTCAGGTTTGTCAAAGATCAGATGGCTGTAGATGTGTGGTATTATTTCTGAGGACTCTGTTCTGTTCCATTGGTCTATATCTCTGTTTGGTACCAGTACCATGCTGTTTTGGTTACTGTAGCCTTGTAGTATAGTTTGAAGTCAGGTAGCGTGATGCCTCCAGCTTTGTTCTTTTGACTTAGGATTGTCTTGGAGATGCGGGCTCTTTTTTGGTTCCATATGAACTTTAAAGCAGTTTTTTCCAATTCTGTGAAGAAACTCATTGGTAGCTTGATGGGGATGGCATTGAATCTATAAATTACCTTGGGCAGTATGGCCATTTTCACGATATTGATTCTTCCTATCCATGAGCATGGTATGTTCTTCCATTTGTTTGTGTCCTCTTTGATTTCACTGAGCAGTGGTTTGTAGTTCTCCTTGAAGAGGTCCTTTACATCCCTTGTAGTTGGATTCCTAGGTATTTGATTCTCTTTGAAGCAATTGTGAATGGAAGTTCATTCCTGATTTGGCTCTCTGTTTGTCTGTTACTGGTGTCTAAGAATGCTTGTGATTTTTGCACATTAATTTTGTATCCTGAGACTTTGCTGAAGTTGCTTATCAGCTTAAGGAGATTTTGGGCTGAGACAATGGGGTTTTCTAAATATACAATCATGTCATCTGCAAACAGGGACAGTTTGACTTCTTCTTTTCCTAACTGAATACCCTTGATTTCTTTCTCTTGCCTAATTGCCCTAGCCAGAACTTCCAACACTATGTTGAATAGGAGTGGTGAGAGAGGGCATCCCTGTCTTGTGCCAGTTTTCAAAGGGAATTTTTCCAGTTTTTGCCCATTCAGTATGATATTGGCTGTGGGTTTGTCATAAATAGCTTTATTATTTTGAGGTACGTTCCATCAATACCGAATTTATTGAGCGTTTTTAGCATGAAGGGCTGTTGAATTTTGTCAAAAGCCTTTTCTGCATCTATTGAGATAATCATGTGGTTCTTGTCTTTGGTTCTGTTTATATGCTGGATTATGTTTATTGATTTGCGAATGTTGAACCAGCCTTGCATCCCAGGGATGAAGCCCACTTGATCATGGTGGATAAGCTTTTTGATGTGTTGCTGAATCCGGTTTGCCAGTATTTTATTGAGGATTTTTGCATCGATGTTCATCAGGGATATTGATCTAAAATTCTCTTTTTTTGTTGTGTCTCTGCCAGGCTTTGGTATCAGGATGATGTTGGCCTCATAAAATGAGTTAGGGAGGATTCCCTCTTTTTCTATTGATTGGAATAGTTTCAGAAGGAATGGTACCAGCTCCTCCTTGTACCTCTGGTAGAATTCAGCTGTGAATCCATCTGGTCCTGGACTTTTTTTGGTTGGTAGGCTATTAATTATTGCCTCAATTTCAGAGCCTGCTATTGGTCTATTCAGGGATTCAACTTCTTCCTGGTTTAGTCTTGGAAGAGTGTAAGTGTCCAGGAAATTATCCATTTCTTCTAGATTTTCCAGTTTATTTGCGTAGAGGTGTTTATAGTATTCTCTGATGGTAGTTTGTATTTCTGTGGGGTCGGTGGTGATATCCCCTTTATCATTTTTAATTGCGTCGATTTGATTCTTCTCTCTTTTCTTTATTTATTTTTTTTTTTTGAGACAGAGTCTCACGCTGTTGCCCAGGCTGGAGTGCAGTGGCGCGATCTTGACTCACTGCAAGCTCCGCCTCCTGGGTTCACGCCATTCTCCTGCCTCAGCCTCCTGAGTAGCTAGGACTACAGGCGCCCGCCACCGCGCCCGGCTAATTTTTTGTATTTTAGTAGAGACGGGGTTTCAC